TAATACATTATTATAGCTTTTTAGTTTTTTTTTTTTTTTTTTTTTTTTGACAGTCCCAAACAACTTTCTTCTGAAATCCAAATGACAGATTTGGGGTGTCACTGGTTTGGGGTCAGGAGAGTTTCAGCTGCATTTGTTAAGTGAATGATGGATGCACTGGTACCCACTAGAGGACAGAAACACGTAAAGGAGTTAAAGAACTGACGGTGCAGGGTGTGTCAGACAGGATTTAGGAAACGGAACTGAAGTGATTCTAAGAAACAAAACCAAACAGAAAGGTGAGTTAAAAGAAAGTGAGTCACATCTCCTACAGGAAAGTATCCTAGTTCTTGGCATGGGCTATGAAGCCCCTCATGGTCTATGCCTGCCTGCCTCAGCCTCTTGTACTGCTGCAGGATTACCTGCAATTCTCCAAGTGGACTCTGGGAGGCAGAGTCTCAATTGCCCCAAACATCCTTGCCTCTTGGTAGCCACACTGCGATAGAATGGGCTCTCCTGAGTATGGGCTACCTGGCAACTGTTTCTAACAGAGTGGGACAAAAGTGATGGATGTCACTTCTATGACGAGGGTGCTGAAGATTGCAGCGTCAGTGTTGCTGGCAGACTCTGTCCTCTTCCTGGCTCACGTACTTTGACGAAGCAAGTGGCCATGCTGGAGCTGTCCATTTGATAAAGGTCTGAAGGCAGCCTGTGGCCAACAGCCAGCTAGGAACTAAGGCTGTTGGTCAAACACCCTCTGAAGAACTGAAGCCTGCCAACAACCGCATGAGCTTGAAAACAGATCCTTCCCTTGAGCCTTCAGATAAGACCCAGCCCTGGCCAGCATCTTAGGTCGCCACCTGTGTTAGATCCTGAAAGATAGGATTCATAAGTTATACCCAGAGAGCTGTCCCTCAGACTCTGTGAGACAATACATTTGTGATATTTAGAGGTGCTAACTCTGGGTCTTGTTAGGAAGCAGTTGGATATTAGTACAGAGTCCTTGAAATGTCATGGGCCCATGCCTTTGGTCTTCTGGTCTTCATGATTCCTGGGAAAGTCCTTTTCCATCTTCTTATTGACTTGACCACACTCCACCTATCATTTAAGATGTAGTTCAAATGTGAATGCCTTTAAAGAGGCCTGCCCTACTTTCCCATAACATTCCTTCCACTTGGACTTGACCTCTCCTTTCTTTGATTCAGCTGAACCTTGCATAGATATCTGGTGTAGCATATAAACCATAGTGCAACTTCTTATTTCTATGAACCTCCATAAACACTGAAGCCAGGAGCCCCTCTAATTTCCGGAAAGGAAAAGATGTTTTCGCTGTTACCACTGCGACAGACCTTTCAGAAGCACATGAAATCAGCTTTGGTAATGACGAAACAGACCGTCATTCAGTTGGTTCTGTGTCAGGGTAAAGATCCCTTTTATCGGGACAGAAGGACATACTCACTCCTCCAGGCGTCTCTGCAGTCCTCACTCCCTGCATTGTGGTCAGCTTCCACTTGTGTCAGCTCCCTGTTTGGTGTCAAGCACACATCTTGATGAGAGGAGTGCTATCACTTTTTTTTTTTTTTAAGAGGTTTTTGCCTTAAAGCACATGCTCTCATAGCAGGGGATGGGAGGGGGGAGAAAGAGAGAGACTGAGACAGTGAAACGGAAAGTGAGAAATCACCCTTTCAGGGAAGATGGCCACGCCGCAATCCCTTCTCCTCCATTTTCCTCCTGGGCTCTTGGGCACACATGCATACGCACCCAGCATGATTTTCAAGCCGCTGGCTTCAGGACTCAAACTTCTGTCAGCCATGTGGGAGTTCAGTAACGTAACTGCTATGCCATCTGCTGGTCCCCAAGAAGAGCACTGTCTCTACATGCCTGGCACCCTGTGTTTGCATACAGAGATATTAGTATAATCACTAGTAAATGCATTAATGGGGAGGAGTGAACGAACAAATGAATGAAATGAGTGGATGAATGAATGGACCATGAGAAAAGACATAAAAGATCAGTAAAAAAATGAAAAGTTATTGGATGATGAAGATGGGAATTTTAATGTCTCTGTATTGACTGATAAGCATGGCATTCCTTCTGGAAAAAGAAATGTAATACACTATAAAGTTATATGTGATTCAATATAAACAAGATTATGATAAAAAAATAAATAAATAAATAAAAATTTAAAAAAAAAGAAAAGATATAAAGTTCAACTGGGGGCATTGTGGTGCTGGAGGCAGGTTCTTACAGATTTTCCGGAGCTCAGATTCAAGGCACATCCTTAGAGCTGGTCAGGGGTTGGTGTGAGCAGTGTCAGGTGAGGCTGATACAGGAGTGACTGGCTGCAGAGAGGCCCAGTCACTCCAAGGGCTCAGGAAGCAAGGGACTAAGGATCCAGCTGAGGCCAGAGTTTACTGGCAGTAATTGCTAAGTGGGAGAAGAACAAGGAAACAAGATGACTCTTGCCCCACAAGCTTTTTGACAGAACAGAGACAGAGCAAGACAGAGTAGACACAGTGGGCATATTCATTGCCTACTATGTGCCCAGCTCGTCGGGTTAATGCATGATTATGGTTTCGGATGGAGCTCAGCACCTTGTGATTTCCTTACACTTTTTTTTCCCCCTTAGGTTTTTGTCATAGGGTGTGTATGCTCATTGGAGAGAGACAGAAAGAGGGAAAGTAAGAAAACACCCTTTCCTCCAGGGGGGTGGCCATGTTGCAATCCCTTCTCTATTCTCCTTTCAGGATTTTGGGCATACACACACACCCAGCATGATTTTCAAGCTGCTGGGTCCAGGACTCGAACCATGGTTGGCCATATGGGAATCCAATGCCTTAACCACCATACCATCTACTGGCCCCTTCCTTATACTTTTTTTGAAGATATTGTACTTACCTGTTTTTATCGTATTTTATTTATTTATTTTAAGAGAGATTTTTGCTATAGGGCATGTGTGCTCACTGGAGAGACAGAGAGACAGAAAGTGAGAAATCACCCCTGAAAGGGGTATGCAATCAACATAAGTTTCCATAAATGGGAGGCCGGATAAGGGAAATGTGGTCTGCAACCACACACACACACACAATCCCTTCTCCTCCATTCTCCTCCTCTCGGGAGCTTGGGCCTACACACACACACACACACACACACACACACACACCTGGTAAGAGTAATAAGACCGCGGGTCCAGGACTCAAACCATGGTTAGCTACAGGGGAGTCCAGTGGCCTGAGAATTAACTGGGACTTAAACATGCAAAATTTCAGTTAAATAGGAAGAATGTGTTCAAGAAATCTATTGTACACCATGGTGGCTGTGGCTAGTTGCATACTGTATTCTTGAAAGAAGATGTCTAGTGTTCTCAGCATGAAAAAATGGTAAGTATGTGAGCTTATGCATGTGTTAATTAGCTTGATTTAGCCATTCCTCAATATATATGTATTTCGAAACAACATCCTGTACATGATAAATTTGTCAATAAAAAAATAAAGAAAGAATGGGGAAAGAGAGTTTTTGACATCGACAGCCTGGACAGAGAGCTTTAGAAAGGAGAAGACAAAGTTGAGCCTGTCGCTGGAGGGATGGCTACTGCAGGAGTCTCCCCTCCTTTTTCACAGGGAAATGGGGGGACTCCCTGGCAGGAGTATTTGGTTACTTACGCATTCCACAAGCTCTGATAGATCATCTGATCTGCACCCAGCATTTTAGCACAATCGGGAGTCCTAGCACACGACACAAGCTTCCTGACCTTCAGGAGCCT